CGATGGGGAATAATTTTGCTGAATTGAACATAACGCAACTGACTGAAAAGCTGCGTCATGTTTTTTTGTTAGTGTCACACTAGCAACACTATTCTCAGCTTGAAGACACATTATGGCACCAGTGGACAGTCTATAGTCTTAGACAGTTTATCTGGGGCCAGTGTGTTGGGTCCTCTAGTACACACCTAGAAAGCAACATTCCCTTACCAATCAGAAATGTTCTTGGTAGACCAACCTGTTAACTTTGTTGGTCCATAGCCACTTCTTTACATTTTAGTCATTTAGCAGACACTCTTATCCAGAGTGACTTACAGTTAGTGAGTGCATACATTTTCATGCTGGCCCCCCGTGGGAAACGAACCCACAACCCTGGCGTTGCAAGCGCCATGCTCTACCAACTGAGCTACAGGGGACTTTAGTTCTAAATGTGTAAAATGTTTAAATAAAATACACTTAATACAATGTACAATTACACAATGAATAGTGTAGCATTCAGTTAATTGAGTCAACCACAAAAACAGTGTATCATTCCCGCCTATAGACAGAACTGATGTGTAATGCACATACCAGAGGGGGATCCAGGAAGTTGTGGCCAACCAACCTCTGTAGCACTTTGGCTTTGTGAGGTCTGAGGCTCTGGCCAACCTTTGCCACTGACCTATGGAAATAAGAACACCCATCATTTTCCAAATTGAAGCTCTCCAGGCTTTTGCTGTTCCAAGGTTCATACTGTACTATAGTTTCACACATCATAAGTGCAACACCTCCGTCTCTTTCTCCATAACACGTGTTACTGCAAAATCAAGGCCCCTGGAAGTTATTCATCATAGGATCTCTACTAGGCAACAACATTCTCTCTGTGGTGTCCATTTGCGAAACAAAACATGTTTTCCAGCAGTCATGTACAAATCAGACTGCATTTCAATGCTAACGGCTTTCGTGGAAACGTAACAGGTGTTCTTCCTGTTTAAAAAATAACACATCTTGTGTTTTGGACTGGGAGGGTTTTTCTCTGTCAATTCATAGTAGGGCATCTCAATATTGCCTGTCTGACCAAATTTAATTTTAGGTAGTCTTAATTGGTGGAATCAGGGAGGGGGCTGCTAAAACAACATCCAGAATGGCTGCCCCCAATGGAAGGACCGGGAAGCGCGAGGCCATAGCCTGCACTACTAATGTTACTGCAAAGATAACTGGCAGGTTAGCGTTTTTCGTCATGAATCTTGTTCTGGAGGTCACTAGCTAGCACAGCCACAAAGTCATAAAATCTGATTTTAAACCTAAACCTAACCCTAACCTTTACCCTAACCTTAAATTAAGACCAAAAAGCGAATTATTACAATATAGCCAATTTTACAGCTGGCCTATCTAAGGGGAAATCGCTCAGTACTTCCTCCAGGACAAGACTCATGACAATAAACTTCAACCTGCGGTTAACTGCCCAATGGCCTGCTGTGTAGAAATGGCAGGGTGAACTCCGTCCCACTCCCTCTCTTTCTCTTTCTCCCTCTCTTCATCTGCCCATCAACTCCATTAGTGTTCCAAATCTCTCGGCCACAATAAAAATGCAGATGGTTGTGCACTTCCTCTTTCGTGCTCCCCACCTCCCGATATCCCTCCCGCACTATCAGGAACTTTCAATGCAGGAAATGCTGGGAGTAGGGGAGCTTCCTGTCTTCAGCCACACCACACCACGTCTCATTGGGAAGGCTGCCTGGGACATTCTGCATGAATGAGTCCAATGGCCCCATTGAGAGGGACTACAGGACTAGAGCGACTCATACACTGTGAATATGGCTCTCTATGTCACTTTACATGGTCAGAATGACCCTGGAGACACTGGAGCAGGTTTAGGAAGAAACGTTTTATGACAAAAATACATTATTTTGATTATTATTAAATGTGATTTACACAACATTATATGAGGTGAAATTAACAGTGTACTATACCAATTTCCACTTATAAAGCTCAATATTTATGGAGGGTAATTTACTATAATGCCTCAGAGGGGCACAAGTTCTGATTTGAAGCAGCTGCCCTCTGGTCAGCAGTTCATTTCCCTACCCAGAGGGCCATACTGCAGCCCCTGAAACTCCACTAGAGGACCTCCCTGAATGTGTACATTATATGGCTTATTCTCTGGTGAACTCTGTGTTCGGTAGGAAACCTGGGCTCAGCACACCCTCATTCTTCCCTGCCTAATTCTGTGTTCATGTTCTTTGGCCGGGACACTAAGGTTGTGAAACAATTACATTTTTAGTCATTTAGCAGACGCTCTTATCCAGAGCGACTTTCAGTTAGTGAGTGCATACATCATTTTTATATTTTTAATACTGGCCCCCCGTGGGAATCGAACCCACAACCCTGGCGTTGCAAACGCCATTCTTTACCAACTGAGCTACATCTCTCACTTTCCTCAGAAGAGGAATAATGGACCATAGAGGAATGTACTGTACTGAGTTCGGGGCAAGATGGAGACCTGGCCAGACTGTTGTGCTGTTGTGATCTCCGCTAGTTTAGTTTAAATCTAAAGGCGAATTATGTTTGCTTCATTTTGTCTTGATGTTTATGGAATATCTGAATCTTCTCTATGTTGTGATCGCCAAATCTAGTAGCTAGTGTCATGTTGTTTTGTCACACATTTCTGTTGGCTTCAGGATGGCCAAATATGTTCTAATAACTGGTTTCCAGTGTTTTCCATACAGATGTGGGATCTTAATTTGAGCCAGTTTGCTACAGCAGGAAAATAATAGTCCTGCAGCAACAGGAAATGTGAATTATTATGTGGATTATAATTAATGGACATTTTTGATACATTTTTCTTAAGGGAAAATCAACTCTGAATTTTCAAAGTGGAAATTACAGACTTCAGAATCCTTTTTAAACCTCAAATACACTACAAGTTTAACATTTCCTACATTGCAGGAAAGTTCTCCTGAAACAGGGTGATCACATTAAGATCTTACATCTGTAAATTGTACCCAGACACACTGTAAACAGACTGCATTAAAATGGCACTCAATGGCTACACATCTATCAAAAATCCCAGCTGTGATTGATTACGGATCTCTCTGTGGTCTGTCTGTTGGTTGTTTTTTGGTCAGTTCCTGGCTTTATGGTCTTTTCCATAGGATCAAAGCTCAGGAAGTATGGAGCTGTGTGGCTGAACATTAGCTGTGAGTGGATGTGGTTTTGTTTTGTTTGTGTTGGGCGAACAAAAGCTGTGAGTGTGCCCCTTATTCATGCTGGCTGGGGTCACCTCGTGTATATTATGCTCTGCTCTCCCCTCCTCTATCTCTAACCCCTGGACCCGCTTACTCTCTCTCTCTCTCTCTCTCTCTCTCTCTCTCTCTCTCTCCTCTCTCTCTCTCTCTCTCTCTCTCTCTCTCTCCTCTCTCCTCTCTCTCTCTCTCTCTCCTCTCTCTCTCTCTCTCTCTCTCTCTCTCTCTCTCTCTCTCTCTCTCTCTCTCTCTCTCTCTCTCTCTCTCTCTCTCCTCTCAGGTGAGGGTCAATGTGCCCGGCCTGCTCTGTAATGTGGTTTGCAGCTGACATATCAGGGAGGACCAGTCCCCACTAGATTAATCTGCTTTCCGACACAGCTTCCTTTTCCTCCTAAGTGATTTGAGATCAGGGTGGGTCACTTACTCCGAGATGTTGGAGGGGCACTCCTTCCACAAGAGAGAGAGAGGAGGGCAGGTTGAGGATGGCTGAGGAGCACAGAGGAAAGAGAGAATGGAAGGGTTGGTGTTAGACTCAGATGGAAGCCCTCTGAGGTATATGCAGCAATACAGCATTTAGCTAAGAGATTTTATGAACAATATTGGGAAAATGTTAGACAGGTTGCCATGTCATGGCATTTGTGGGAAAAGGTGTGTTTGTGTTAGTCATTGGTGCTGAATGGATTTTTACTGTGGGATCCCATTCATTTGAGGTAGATGGGAGGAGACAGGAATGGCTTTGAAATAAATGAAGGGTAAACACTAGATTAATCAAGATTTAAGATTAAGATTTAGAACATGCATTTGATCTTTAAATGTACAAATCCTAAAAGCGTTTTGTATTGCATGTGATTCCATCTTTCTTGGATGAAGGACACATGGGGACCTGTCTGAGGCCTTGTGGTTTCAGGGAGTATACCCGGTGATGAGATAATCGTGAGTGTGGTCTGCACTGTGGTCTCCTTACATCACAACAAATGGATATTGGAATGGAAGTTGAAGTAGAGTCTCAATTTCCATTTCCTCCAAGAAAGGCTGAATATGCTTAGCATGCATTGACCTAACCCAATAACCTAAAGAATACCTGGAAATAAAAAACTCTCAGCTCTTTCTACAGCTAAATCGGAGGTCTTGGGATAGGGAGATACTGAACAGTTGAGAAAGTCTAAAACATTTAATAAAATGTATGTTGATTTTGAACTTTTTTTATGCCATTGGCACAGAGTATTTAATAAGAAATCAAAAGTGTAAACCCCCTAAAGCAGGCTTTGGGCGATAGTGGCTAGCAGGGGAACCTAACAGGTTTCTCATGTAAAATAGATTTAATTTAAATGAGAATAACCTGTATAAATAAAGGGGAAAACAAAGAAAAAAAAGGGAAAAACATCCCCAAAAATGACAGGAAGTAACCCAGACTCTTTAGGAGGCCTACTCCATCTAGGGGGCACCAGGTGAACGTTACCTCAGACCTGTGATTCCAGGATGTAGCTATTGTCCTGTGAGGAAGACAAAAAGTTGGACAAAATGCCTCTGAAATGTTAATGATCACGAGGGTTAGCATGTGGTGGCTAAGTTTAGAGGGTCAGGTTGGTTAATATTGGTGCTCTTTGCCCATGTTGTGGATCATATGTGGATATTATTCACGTATAATAAGGACTTATATATTAGCCTGGTAGACACCCTGCTGGTTTAATCATAGCGTATACTTCTGTGCTATAATTCAACCCAGGTAGAAGTGAATGAAACTGGAGCACTTTTACTGGTCATGGTAATCCCTCTATAATGAGGGGGCCTGGTTTTCAGGTGAGTTTTCCAGGGGTCATTCTGTCTGCCATTTTACCCACAAAACAATGAGTGCAAAAGGAGGTATTCATCAGACTGCAATCTACTGTTATATCCACCACATATGTTCATAGAGCTTAGGGTTTAAATCATGGACCGGTCACAAATTACCTGCAATTTGAGCAGAGCCCCTAGGATCACAAATCAATCATACTCGGTTCATGCCAAAATCCACATTTAATGAATCTGAACCAGTTGATTGTAAACCAAGTGAATGGAGCTTTGATTGTAATAGAAATCTAAGAGGGATATGTCTTTGTTCTTTCTTTCTGTGTACAGGAAGCGTTGTCGGTGGTGAGTGAGGACCAGTCGCTGTTCGAGTGCACCTACGGAACGCCCCACCACGCCAAGGCGGAGATGGCGGCGGCGGCGGCCAGCGAATACGGCCAGACGGCCAAAATGAGCCCCAGGGTGCACCAGCAGGACTGGCTGTCCCAGCCGCCGACCCACGTCACCATCAAGATGGAGTGCAACAGTGGACAGGTCAATGGCAACAGGTACAGCAGTCCACCTTTAGCTTCACCTTTACATATGTCTGGCCCGTATCGTGTGTTCTCTGGAGAGTGCTAGCATAAGAAGGGGTGAAGTGACATAGAACCACCTCCTAGCTGCAGCCGGGCTGCCTGTGGCCCTAATTTCCTGTCTATTGTCTGCATTTCTATGGATGTACTTTAAACAGGTGGGTCGATGCGGCCTGAAATCGAAACTCGCAATGTAAATATTTTGAATTACGGGGGCAGAAAATTCAATGCGATGGTATAGAGTCAGTTAATGGGACGTCTGTTGTTTACGCCCATCAATAGTAAAGAGTCTTGCCTGGCTTACACAGTGACAGCCAGCAGCCAAGCTATTTGCCAAACAGACGAGGAACTTGACTGAGGTTTTCAGTGGGTGAAGAAAAACTGGCAAAGCTGCCTGAGACCCAATCCAAGACAGAGTTGCTGCTGTTGGAATCCCAAACTCAAAACAGCTGTACCACAAAAAATATGTAGAAGGACCGCCACTGCATTCATATTTATAACACGTCTCACACATTCAAGAACCCCCTCTCCATCCATCTAGGCCCCCTCCAATCTCCACACAGCCATCTCCATCTCCACAGACACCCAGGCAGAGGGCCTTATTTATCTGGCGGTGAGACATGGGAAAGATTGTTCCAATTAGTGACGAGTCAGGGAGCAGAGGAAGATTTACAGCGGAGATCAACACAGACAGCACTGCTGCTCCTGCACACACCACTATCCTCCCCTCCATTCACTAGGCTACTAGAGGGAAGCCTACTGTACTGCCAAATAAATGTATGTGTATTTGGAGGGGGGAAGACAGGTAGGTGTGTGTGTGTGTGTGTGTGCGCACACCCGTATGTCTGTGTGTATGCGTGCATCTGGGGACCCAAAGCTCAACCCGGAGTGTTCCAAAGCTCTCCGACATCCCAGGAGTTTGGTCCAATTTCCAGAGTGGATAATCTTAAAGATCGTGTTACATGTCACGGGAATGGGGTTTTTCAGCCTGAGTTATGGCTGAAGCTTTAGAAATGGGAGGGAGCGTAATGGTACAGCTGGGTGACAGATAGCCTCAGCGATGGAAATTATTGCGGGGAATGTTGACATGGGGGCTAACAGGGGTCCTGAGGCTACCCTCATTATCTGGATTTAATGGGTTTGTGGACCACCCCTCCCATGCCCCCCTCCATCATCCCCCACCCAGTACCCTCAGTGAGCAGCAGCAAGGTTTATGGGAAGTGAAGTGGGCCCGGGAGCCCAACCTCTTGGCAGATTAATTAGCTGATCCAAACCTGGAGAACAATGAACAAGTTAGCTTCAAGACAAGGTCGACGGGTCGCCTGCACTCCTCTACACTAGGATTCCCTTGGATTGTTTGTTCTTTCTGTCTCCCTCGCTCTGTCTCTCATTCTTATCTCTATCTCTGTCTCTAGTCTCTGTCTCTCTTTCTCTCTCTTTCTCTCTACAGTGATAGAGGGTTGAATGTGTTTTAGCATGTGTCTGGGCCCAGTGGACAGCAGTTTACAGTCGCTTGGCCTCCGTAAGCCTCTGATGGTGACTCATACTGGGTGGGAGACAGTAGAGTAATTGCACTGATGTCCAATGGGCTCGGATACACACACACACACACACACACACATACACACACATACACTAATCAGGGCTGAACTGCAGCGCACTTCGCTGCGTCACATACAAATGCATATGTCTACACACAGACACTGAGACTTCCAAAGTAGACTCAGATACACAGTAACACTAGTTTTCCATTGATCCCATTGCATTACTCTTTAATCAGACATTCTAACACAACATAGTTCATTTGTGTTGGCTAATTAGCTCAAATTTGCCACAGACGCCGCCCTTTGAATACGATCTCAATCCATTTCACAATAATAGATAACATCCCCAGGTCTTGTGATATTTTTCAAACAGCACATGTGGTGACATGGCTGCTCTCCACAGTCAAATGATACTTTCACAATTCAATCTTGGAAGGCTGCAGTAGTATGATCTTCTGCCCAAACTGTTAACTCAATCAAGTGTAAATTGATAACATAAAGGCGATCTCGTTGTCTCCCTCTCCAGTTGGAAAAGATGCTTGGTTTTTCTTCTGAAAAAGAAAAGGAGAGCTGCACACTCTAGGAGCTCAGATGCAATAATTTAATAACCTAATAACCAACGTTTTGACAGAAAAAAGCATACATTTTGAATTAGCAAAGATGTATTCTGTTGCTTATTTTCTCTCTCTCTCTCTGCATTGATTGATATATGATAAGAACTGTAGAAGTATGGGCATTGTGCATTACATTTTGGGAATGCACGTGAAGTATGATTTTTGCATGAGCAAATGTTCTATAAAACTAATTGGTTTAGGCTTGTTTTGATCCTTAAAACAGGGTTGTGATAGAATATGTTTTTCGGGGGTACGTTTTATAGTAAATAAGACCATCTGAATTCCCCCCAACTTCCTGTTCATATTTCAAGTTTTATATTGGCCTAGTTTAGTATCAGACGCTCAAACTGGCAGAATGTTTTTTGAATCAGACGAATTCCGAGGGACTTTTCAGTCGAAGTCACACTTTGGCCATCTCTCACCCCTTGCTCAACTCGTAGATCCAGATACCATATCCTTATGGCTTACTGATTCCCTAATGATGAGAGTTCCATCTTCTGGGAAGAGGAAGGCAATCACTCAGGTTGTGCTATTGTCTTCCACGGGAAATATTAGTGAAACTTTCACTTGATTTTTTATGTTGACCCTCTGAGCCCCATTGAATGGGGTCTCTAGTTTCTGCAGTCTAGTTGCTAACATTTATGGACACGTAAGTGAGACCCCCTTTGGGAGGCCGAATTTCTGCCAAGTGAGAAACAAGGGTCCATTTTGCAGCAATGTGGTAATTTCAGTTGAAAGGCTCATGTTAACATTACAATCTGGAAACTGGATCATTCCAGTTATAAGAATAATCCTGTAGGAAAAATAAATGGCCACCAACATTTTGGGACTAACAGCACTATAGGCAATTATTTCACAGAAGAAGTATAAAACGTCTCTTGATGAAAGTGCCATAGAATAGTTACTGTAATCTTTGGGACTAACATTATTGAAATACTACTGGATTAAAACATCCCTCCAACACCAGATCTAAGAATAAATCACTTTTATGTGTTTTTACTTTGAAACAGCTATTCCCAAATCACATGCATCTGGGGCCTGTACCCATGGCAAGGACAGACTCTCCATCAAGGCTGGGTCAGGAGAGGCCAACAGTTGGTTGACACATGACTTTGATTCCAATAAATGGTTCCAAAATGGTTAATATCTTGGCCACAGCAGGTTGATATGAATTTATATGACATTCCATGGGTAATCCGTCCCATCTGGTGGCCGCACTCCGGGGGAATCAGAAGCTATGATAATGGCAGAAGAGTCATTTGGAATGGGGTCATTTATGGGGCCCAGGGCCCCTGGCAGTCCTCCCTCCCCACCACTTTATTTTAGTGGAGATCTGTCTTTTTATGTGGCTTCAGGAGAGCTGCGGGGCACAGGTTACAGCCATAGCTGGGATATTCGAAAGAATAATGGATTGGAATGGTAGAGACGAAAAATCTGAGACTACTTTGTTTCGCAGTCTGTGGTGGGAGGAGAGTTGAAATCACAATTACACGGTCTCCTCTGTTTTGGCATCAAGGCACACGCTAGCAACATGAATGCATGTGATAAATACATGAACAACAGATAGATAATCATCAACAAACATTTTACTAATGGTTAACAAACAAATTAGTAATGGTTTATAAACAGTCGTTAAACAGATGTTCCAGTGTAGTGTTACCAGTTAGGTAAACCATTAGTCTTGATGAGCATTGCAGGTGTGGTTGACTCCACCCCTCTGGGATTGACTCCGCCCATATGTGGATGACCCCGCCTCTCTGTGACTGACCCTACCCCTCCCCTCTGTGTTTTGTCCTGACAGGAACTCTCCTGACGAATGCAGCGTGGGGAAGAACGGGAAGCTGTCCAGTGGAGGAGAGGGCACCACCCCTGTCACCTACAGCAGCTACCTGGAGGACAAGCACATCACTCCCCCCAACATGACCACCAATGAGCGCCGCGTCATTGTTCCCGCAGGTAACAGAACACCTTAACACACCAAATGACACCACAGTGATCTGAACACCAGAACACTTTTCTTTAGACAGCTGAAGCTCTTAGTTAGATATTCTCAATTACCTTGGGTCGACTCACCTGTCTGCAATTGAGATTATAATAAAAATGGATATCTCATCTGATGTGAACTAGCTCACTAGCTCATGTGTCCTATGTACACATGTAAACATAGCTAAAGAGGACCTGCTTTGGAATGAGAAGCAGGGCGTTGCCCTCTGTGGTTAAAGGAGCCTTCAATACCAGTCCCAATCAGTCAGTTGCAGTATGTGGGTCACTCACTGCTTTCGATTAGGGGACCTCATGTCTCTCACATACATTCATCTGTCACAAGGAGAGACTTCCTGGGATCTGCAGCAAAGAAACCCCAGCGTTTTGTTGCCGAGTGTGCTTTTCCTTGTCTAGACGGTTTCCTATGGTGCCGGTCCAACGGGGTGGAGTAAGGAGCAGGGTGGCGTAAGGAGTAGGGTGAAGGGGGGATGTGAGTCCCTGCCAAATGGGAGAAAAGTATTCTTATCAGTTCCCCATTCAAAGACACACACCTAGAATAGAGCACTGAATCCTGACTGGATAATCCATGAGGCTGTGCTGTGTCTTTGGGGGAAAATAGGCTGTAGAATAGCCTAAATAAAGCACCTTTGAAATTAGATGCTAACTTTGTGGATATTACAGAATTGACACTGTTTTTTCTTTGATATAAAGTCATAGATCGGCATTGCATAGTCACTTCTTGATGCATAAAAATAAATTGTGGTCATGGCCCATAGGGGTGTTCATAGGGGTTTTGATGACTACACTTTTTGTGAACTACATGAAGCTCAAACCAAAGGTCACACAAGATCATGCGCCATCCTATGTTAGCCTTGGTCACAGTAATGTCTCCAATGGAAAATAACCATAGAGAAACTTTGTTTAGAGTAATTTCCCCACAGACAGACCTGTCCATTGACGGCACGGAGCACTGTACTCACTATCTGGAGGTTGTGCAACACAGTTTTTCTGGCATAGTGCAACTTCCTCTCCAACTGAAGCTGACAAGGACAATGACGCGACATGTTAAGAACATCCTGTTTTTGCTGTTCATTTAGAGGAGGACAATAGCCACACTGCTCCACGGAATGTAATGGGAGGTCGATATTCAACTGGCTTCTCTGCTCTACGTATAGGAAACGCATTCCTGATATTTTGGTATAGGGACTTGGGGAGGGCATTTCAACTTCAAATACATGTGGATCTGTTCCTATATGATGCACAATGCACCACTTAGTGCATTTTAAGAAGCCCTACAGCCCCACCCAACATCTCTGCCATAAAGGATAATATATTGTTGGAGGAATACAGAAAAGTTATGCTAAAGTGTATTGTAATAAAGCCTATCATATAATATGTAGTATTTGATTCCACCCCTCTATAGTTTCTGTCCCATTTGAATTCCATCTGCATTACAGTGCATTCACTGCTTAATGCCACATCCACTATATTGTTTGGATGGTTAAGTCCTCCAATATTGCACTGAGACAGACCTGAGGGCTGAGGAGAGCGAGTGCCAGCCAGCCTCCCCTTCGCCCCAACTGATCCTCGCCTCATGTCTCTGTAGTGAGGGATGAGTTACCGTTGCCCCTCGCTCTTTGAGCCTGTGTAAGAACTCTGGCTTCCCGCCACCCCCCCAAAATCTTGAGATGCTCGTTCTCGCCCCCGCACAGAGAGCTAGGGTTACAGGCTGTGTCCCAAATGGCACCCTATCCCCAATACAATGCACTACTTTTGACCAGGGCCCATAAGGCTCTGCTCATAAGTAGTGCACTATGTAGGGAATAGGGTGCCATTTGGGACACAGATACAGAGTTACAGGTGTTGTTAAATATTGCTGGAACGGAGGACCAGACTATGGTGTGGTTTGTTTCTGTACCTGTCAGCAGTTTTTGGATCCTGTTATGTTTGTTAGGTGTGTGTGTGTTTGGTACCAGTGGTCTTATCTCTGGGAAAGAGAATGCCGTTCTAAACACACTACTCATGTAATTGGACTGTATTTGCACAAATTAAAATGTATTTAGAAAATGTTGGTTGTTAAAACCAATTTCATTGCAAATGTACACTCAAAACTATTGTCATATAAAGAATGAGAGTAAGTATGAACTTAAGAAAATAAGTAATTATGAAGGCGAGAGTTTACTATGAGAGTTTCCATTCTCCTTTCTCTGTGAGTGGGATAAGTTGCTCCTGTTCCATGTTGCTACCCGCTGCATCTTACCCCTTCCATGGTGTTAACACATCCCCCCTCCTATGTTGTGTCCATGGCCTGGCAGATCCCACACTCTGGTCCACGGAGCATGTGCGCCAGTGGCTGGAGTGGGCGGTGAAGGAGTATGGCCTGCTGGACGTGGACGTGGCTCTCTTCCACAACATGGACGGCAAGGACCTGTGCAAGATGAGCAAGGAGGACTTCCAGAGGCTCACGCTCAGCTACAACGCAGACATCCTGCTCTCCCACCTGCACTACCTCAGAGAGAGTGAGTGTAGTATCTTCCTTCTCCTCCTCATCATCCCTCTCTCCTCTCCTCCCTCTCCGTGCTCCTGCCTTCTGCCCCTCTTTCCCAGCTGACCAACACAATGCAATGGCAGGCAGTAAAGAGAAATGCTACAAAGGGCTACTACTGAAGGGCTGCTGGTCCATTCTTTACCTCTATACCAGAGGTAAGGTAGGAAACTTGTCCTGGGGGGTTATAAGGTAAGCAGGCCTAAGGTGCTTTAAATATTGGTCTGAAACCAAAGCCTGTACACACCGTGGCTCTCTAGGACCAGACTTGCCTAGATTATTAAGGACAAAGAGGAGTGTATGATTTACATTTACGTCATTTAGCAGACGCTCTTATCCAGAGCAACTTACAGTTAGTGAGTGCATACATTTTCATACTGGCCCCCCATGGGAAACAAACCCACAACCCTGGCGTTGCAAACGCCATGCTCTACCAACTGAGCTACAGGGGACTAGATACACTTATTCCCTTAACAAGGTGTAGTTCTCATAGCTTGTTAAAGTTAGGGCAAAGGGCAGATCCTGCAGCCTTCCAGTAGCGAGCCTCAGTAGTCCTGTCTGTGTATAGTGTGTATCAAACTGAGCTCTCACTGACATACTCCAGAGGGCCTCAGCTACTTTGCTTGACTGCAGATTAGAATGAAACCTGGTAAAGGAGTCCCTGTTGTTGCTGCTTCTGCTGCTTTGGCTGAATGACTCACTGCTCCAAGGCCTGCTTTCCTGTCCACTGCACCTCACCTCCTCTCTACACACACACATGCATTTGTGCATGTCGTACACACACACACACACACACACACACACACACACACACACACACACACACACACACACACACACACACACTCACACACACTGTTTTGAAGTTGTTAGCAGTAGATGTGACAGTAGTAGTAGTTGTGTAGTAGTAGTAGGGAGTAATGGTGGCAGTAGTGTAACAATAATAAAATCATTAACATGTTTTTGAAGAGGAATAGACACACTACATCAATAAAGTCATAATTGACACCCATCTTAAGAGACTTATCTGTTTATAGTCATTGGAGAAGGTTTGTCAGACTCTTGAGATTATGTGTATCTTTGATAGTCTGTCTCTCTCTGCTCTCCAAGAATAGGGTAGTCCAAGTTCCATTTGATTGTGCAGAGAACTTTCCAATGAACCATTACTCTTCTCATGATGACTGCTAATAGTTTTGTTTGTTTGAAATCAGTGTCGGTTTTGGTAGAGTTACCCACAGATGTACAGAGGAGGTGAGTGATGGGAGAAAGAGGGGAACAAAACAGAAAGATAGCCAGACACACAGACCGACAGACAGAGAAATTAGAAAGCCCGATAGCTGGAGGAGTCCAGAGTTTAGAGTGGTGTACCACCACCTTCTGAACTGGGCTGTTGATCATTTTTGTGTTATTCCACAATCCTGTGCTTGAAGCTCTCTTGAAACACATGTCTCACGAAAATCTTTTGAATTACCTTTTCTTATACATACCTTTTAGTGTAATCAACAGTTCCCACACCCTCATTTAAATACTGTGGGCAGTTTGAAATTGATAACAGAGAATTGCCAATAGGCCTACTTATCTGTCTCCAAATACTTATTTTTGTTTGGCCTTAGATTAAAAATGGTCTGAAGGGAGTGGGTAGGCACACCTACACTATTCACAGACCCTGACGGTGGCTGGCTTTGTATTTGAGGTCTGCTCGACTGGAAAAGACACTAGTGATGGGGGGGAAAGGAAGAATGCCCTCTCCTCCTTTTGTTCTTGGCAATGGTTGCTGCTCCTCTTTCCCCCTCGTGTGTACACACGCTTGCCGAATTTACTCTGGAGGAGGGAAAATTGGGAAAAGCGATGGATTCTCACAGACGAATGTGGGCACGAGTGATTAACTGTTTATTTGGGTTGGCCCTCCCTGCCATTGTCTCCCCTCTTGCTATGGCGATGTGTTCCACACTTACAAGCTGTCTCTCTTTCTCGCTCTCTCTCTCCCACTCCATTTCCCCTCTCCTCACCCTCTATCTCCCTGTATTGCTCCTTGCCTGTTGAATGTTGCCTCTATGGCAGTTCTAAGAGCAGGCCTTACCTTAGTGCATCGCTAAAGGTCTGTATTTATCATGGCTGGCCCCCCCAACGCATCACTCCTTGCACATCATAGGTTGTTTTGAGCTGTTTTCTTTTTTTGGTTTATCTCTTTTTCAAAAGAATGTTTTATTTCTCAGCTCCACTTCCTCACTTGACTTCCGATGATGTTGACAAAGCCTTACAAAACTCCCCGCGGTTAATGCATGCTCGCAACACAGGTAAGGAGACCCCTGCCTCCCTTCTCTACCTCTGGCTTTGCTCCCGCCACCACAGTATCCTCACACTCACACAGTGCCCACCTATGTATATACAGTGCACTTTTTATATACTGTACATGCACACTGCTTTTTTCTATTCATATGATTATCAGATTATGCATCAAGTAATCTTATCTGATATTTGTTGTTATTATTTCTAATGTGTTTTTGTTATGTGATGCAGAAGTTACTGTATGCTGGTGCAGTAATGCATTGTGGCTGTAGAGCGTAGATGAAGGCATGTGCTAAAGTCTAACGTTGATGCATAGTGCTGTAATTACCCCTGTGCTGCACGAAATCCCTCCCCACATGGATATGGAACGTTCAGGCAATGTGTCATGAGAAGTTGTGACTTTACGGGTGCATAATAATTTACATAATTAATTAATGATCCTCTCTTTCACTCTCCACAGGAGGTGCAAGTTTTATTTTCCCTAACACTTCCGTTTATCCCACTGACAACTCCCCCAGAGTCTCCGCTAGGCCAGGTGGGTGATTCATCACTCCTACAAGTTTATGTAGATGAGGCATAAGAGCTTACTGTAAGCACATCCAATTACACTTAGAGGAGCAAGGTACAAGGGTAATAATAATAATAATAATATGCCATTTAGCAGACGCTTTTATCCAAAGCGACTTACAGTCATGTGCGCATACATTTTTACGTATGGGTGGTCCCGGGGAGAAACAAGGAAAAGGAGAAACAAGGAACCACACACCTTGCAGACAAAGTACTACATTTTGATTATTGCCCATGCCCATTTACAAAAATACTCATATACAAAGGTATATTTAGAAGAAGTTCGTCAAAATAATATTTAGAGGTGCTATAATTTGTTTATATTTCAACATAAGCATCCCCTGCCCTTAAAATAATACTCCAGACTGCAGTAGTTGTGTCTATGTGTTTGGGCCCCTTGTATTATGGAAAGTCTCTGGCAATCAACCACTCTTGCCTCAGACCAATGAAGTGACCCACAGAAATGCTCTCACTCATCAGCATGTTTTTGTTTTTAGCATAGCGCCCTCTAGGGGTAAGGTTAATAACTGCAGGCAGCAGGTTGACTGTTGTCATTACTGTTATTTTACAGACCTGGCATATGAAGCAGCCAGAAGATCTGGCTGGGCTACACAAGCTGTGTCTTCCACCAAAGGTAAGGAGTCGCAATGTACTGTACATCAGTCCTTTGTCGAAACATGGCACTCCCTTTGCTTTTCATCTATTGGGAAATGTGTCAAAGTCCATCACAATGAATTTAAGAGGTTACATCTTTACAAGCTTGTGGACTAGACATAAACAAAAAAGTCCGGGCAGAATCAGAGAACAGGAAATTGTATACCTCAAGATAAGAAGGTATTTCTCCACTGTATACTCTTGGAACATTGCCCTCAAGGAAACCAACCCTGTTAATATTTTGGGAACTTTATCCCTCAAGGTTCCCAGCCCTCCCCAGCCATTGTCACCAAAACAGAGGAGCAGAGGCCTCAGCTAGGTAAGATATTAGGTTGAACAGTACTCTGAAATAGATGTTGACTGAGCTGAATAAAATATTTTCTCCTACAAATGTGAATGTTTTTCCCTTCTTAGATCCTTACCAGATCCTGGGGCCCACGAGCAGCAGGCTGGCAAACCCCGGTGAGTTTTAGGGAGGGTGTGAGTGATTATCACTTCATTAGATAGAATTAAAGATTTTAGAAATTCATATTACAACAAAGGCACCATTTGCATGAGTAGCTGTTATGGTGGTGACTGTTGCAATGACTTGTTGTTGTGGTGTTGACTGTAACATGTCTGTATGTAGTTGTTATGGGGATGACCACCTGTCTCTCTCCAGACTGTATTATAAATTATTACGTGTTGATTCCTTGTCTCTGTCCAGACTGTATTATAATTGTTACTATATTGACTCCCTGACTCTGTCCCAACTGTATAAGTAATTGTTACGTGTTGACTTCCTGTCTCTGTCCAGACGTTGGCCGGGACTCAAACAAACCGCAATCCGCCGACATCGCACTACTCTTGAGCTTTAAAGGTAATTTACGCTTGAGCTGACATCCGCAGCGTTTACCCTGAATGCGATCGTGAACGTCAAGGAAATTGCCTTTGAAAGTGAAGTGCAGTGCGATGTCGACGTAGTGCGGTTTGAATCCCGGCCTGTATTAGTAATTGTGACTGTGTTGACACCCTTTCTGCCTGCAGGCTCGGGACAGATACAGTTGTGGCAGTTCCTGCTGGAACTCCTGTCAGACAGTACCAACTCCGGCTGCATCACCTGGGAGGGCACCAATGGCGAGTTCAAGATGACTGATCCCGACGAGGTGGCAAGACGCTGGGGCGAGAGGAAGAGCAAGCCCAACATGAACTACGACAAGCTGAGCCGCGCCCTGCGCTACTACTACGACAAGAACATCATGACCAAGGTGCACGGCAAGCGCTACGCCTACAAGTTTGACTTCCACGGCATCGCCCAGGCCCTGCAGCCCCACCCGCCAGAGTCCTCCATGTACAAGTACCCCTCCGATCTGTCTTACATGAGCACCTACCATGCACACCAGCAGAAGGTCAACTTCGTCACGCCCCACCCCCAAGCGCTACCCGTCACCTCCTCCAGCTTCTTTGCTGCCCCCAACCCCTACTGGAACTCCCCCACCGGAGGGATCTACCCCAACACCCGGCACCCAGCCGCTCACATGCCCTCCCACCTGGGCACGTACTATTAGACCTGCCAAGGGAAGGGTGTCTCGCTACTCTAAAACTGGAGGAAGAAAAGGGAAGAAACGGGGAAACACAAAGGGTTTCCGTTTGGGTAGTGTCAGAACCAAACGAAAACAGGGGCAGGATCAATAATGAAGGAATAATGTAGAGGTAGGGTAACTGGTGTAAGTCTAGAGCATGAGCAGGTGAGGGAGCTCAAGGTTTTGTAAAGGATTAAGAGGATGGCTACAGACATGTCGCTATAAGACGATATAGGAGGGAAAACTGTAAATGTAAAAAGGGCAATAGTGGACGTTGCTATGACCAAGGGCATTGTGCGACGTGTAGTTTCTGAGAACAGTGAAAGATAAGTCTTTGAGTAGACTTAAAAGGGAGTTATCAGTGGACTATATAACATGATCATGTCCTTTTTATAAAGGTCGATAAATATACCCCAAAAATACAATAGCTGCATGAACAGTTACTTATTATATATGTTTTTAAACTATTAAACTACCTTATTTAATGAAGTAAACATATCAAAGACTGTAAAGATGAAGCAAGATAAGTGAGATGTAAGTGAGGAGAGGGGTGTGGTGTGGCAGATGAGTGTGTACTTCAGAGTACACAGAGGAAGTAGGGAGGAGTACTAAACTTGGCTGTAGTAAACTGTGAAACAAGCACCAGCAGGAAACACCTTGGGTAGATGTGTGCTAGATGGTCATGTCACATGACCATGCATGGACTCACAGACTGTTTGTGACCAAGGGTGGGGCGACATCAGAGAGGACGGCGGATCATGAAAGACACTGAAATATGTGAAAAATTAAGTATTATTACTTTGAATATAAACTGCCTTATGTCTTATCAGTATTATTATACTACATAGTAGTGCATATGGCATTATTGAACGTAAAGGGAAGATTGTTTTACTTGACTGTTATTCTTAAAGAGAGTGCCTTGAAATCAATTCATCTGTGTTTTGGAAATTTGGAAAAACTGGAATTAAGCAGGATTCGTAAAATGTTGTGTGTGACCTCAAATCTTTTTATAAGGAAGGAGGAGTTTTCTTGACCACAGTGCCTTACCACAGAAACTCCCAGTTCAGCTGAAGAGATTTTACAAAGTTCCAATTTTGTATTATTGTTTTTCTGAGTCGCGAACGCTGTGCGTTTGTTAGATTGAAGTATACAAGTCAGTGTTATATTTCTTTTTATATGATAAATTTATAACTTATGCATTTATACACTACGAGTTGATCTCAGCCAGCCAAAGACACAGACAATGTTTTTATAATAGATATAGTGACAAAAAAGTCATTGAAATAGACTAAAGCAGGCAGTAAACAGTGAAAAAACAGTTGTGGCCTTTGAACTTTATGCTCTATAAACCTAAACTATATATATTAATATAAAACTGATTGTGTCGGCCAGGCAAGTAATTTCAGACCTGTTCAGTATTATTTTATGGGATGCAGGCTTGGGTAGAACACCTATAAGCTGCCAGCCTTGTAAACTGAGAAACAGGACTGAGATACTGAGATTGTTTACTAAAGGGACCATAAAAATGATATACTTTGATAGATTTTCTACTGTGTCATTTCTAATAAAGTATCTTCAACCAAAGTGCTGTCCTCTCTTGTCTTGGAAGGTGAAAGATTATGTGTGTTATTGTGCTCTGTCTGCATGCAGTATCAAGAGGAGTTGCCCCCATTATTTTGACCCAAAACAGTCGATGTGTGCCAACAACCAAACGACAAACCTCATTGGCTCTACCCTGAGTGTTGCCACAACAACAGAGATGAGGAATGTAGCGCAGTGTGGGATGGGGGAGGCTAGGTGAATTTTATAGAGCTATTTATTGATAAAAACATCCCTTCAATCTGATTATGGCATTATTGAAAGTCAATGGTTTATTCGTAGATACAGATAAACACAGCTTTTAAGCATTACACAGCCATTATCTCAAAAACTAGTTTTGTTATATCCCCATCTACCCTTAAGAGTGAAATATGTATAATACATTCAAATATACAACTTGAGTGATACAAAGAAACAACATCTTGAATCTGTTTTTCCTGGAATCCTACATAATTCTTTCTAATACAGCAACAGTTACTGCCACAAAAATGCAATTACACTCAAACACCAGCACCTGAGACACAGTCCTATTCTGCCTGCATGTCCATATACTCCTATTATCTAGCTTGTAAATCCAAACAATATGCCAGATATACTGTACACTGCACATTAACGTACTCTGACCAGATGCACACTGATCAGGAACATGCTTTTATTAGCCTAAAAGTGTCAGCATTCACTCATTAGGTTTAGGAGTACAAAATACAAACATACACTACCGTTCAAAAGTTTGGGGTCACTTAGAAATGTCCTTGTTTTCCATGAAAACATACATGAAATGAGTTTGAATAGGAAATATAGCAAAATGCATAGGAAATTTAGTCATTGACAAGATTAGAAATAATGATTTTTAATAGAAATAATAATTGTGTCCTTCAAACTTTGCTTTCGTCAAAGAATCCTCCATTTACAGCAATTACAGCCTTGCAGACCATTGGCATTCTAGTTGTCAATTTGTTGAGGTAATCTAAAGAGATTTCACCCCATGCTTCCTGAAGCACCTCCCACAAGTTGGATTGGCTTGATGGGCGCTTCTTACGTACCATACGGTCAAGCTGCTCCCACAACAGCTCAATAGGGTTGAGAGCCGGTGACTGTGCTGGCCACTCCATTATAGACAGAATACCAGCTGACTGCTTCTTCCCTAAATAGTTATTGCATAGTTTGGAGCTGTGCTTTGGGTCATTGTCCTGTTGTAGGAGGAAATTGGCTCCAATCAAGCGCTGTCCACAGAGTATGGCATGGCGTTGCAAAATGGAGTGATAGCCTTCCTTCTTCAAGATCCCTTTTACCCTGTACAAATCTCCCACTTTACCACCACCAAAGCACCCCCAGACCATCACATTGCCTCGACCATGCTTGACAGATGGCATCAAGCACTCCTCCAGCATCTTTTCATTTGGTCTGCGTCTCACAAATGTTCTTCTTTGTGATCTGAACACCTCAAACTTCGATTCGTCTGTCCATAACACTTTTTTTCCAATCTTCCTCTGTCCAGTGTCTGTGTTCTTTTGCCCATCTTAATCTTTTATTTCTATTGGCCAGTCTGAGAAATGGCTTTTTCTTTGCAACTCTGCCTAAAAGGTCAGCATCCCGGAGTCGCCTCTTCACTGTTGACATTGAGACTGGTGTTTTGCGGGTACTATTCAATGAAGCTGCCAGTTGAGGACCTGTGAGTTGTCTGTTTCTCAAACTAGACACCCTAATGTATTTGTCCTCTTGCTCAGTTGTGCACCGGGGCCTCCCACTCCTCTTTCTATTCTGGTTAGATCCAGTTTGCGCTGTTCTGTGAAGGGAGTAGTACACAGCGTTGTACGAGATCTTCAGTTTCTTGGCAATTTCTCGCATGGAATAGCCTTCATTTCTCAGAACAAGAATAGACTGACGAGTTTCAGAAGAAAGTTATTTGTTTCTGGCCATTTTGATCCTGTAATCGAACCCACAATTGCTGATGCTCCAGATACCCAACTAGTCTCAAGAAGGCCAGTTGTATTGCTTCTTTAATCAGCACAACAGTTTTCAGCTGTGCTAACATATTTGCAAAAGGGTTTTCTAATGATCAATTAGCCTTTTAAAATGATCAACTTGGATTAGCAAACACAACGTGCCATTGGAACACAGGACTGAGGGTTGCTGATAATGGGCCTCTGTATGCCTATGTTTCCAGCTACAATAGCCATTTACAACATTAACAATGTCTACACTGTATTTCTGATCAATTTGATGTTATTTCAATGGACAAAAACATTGCTTGTCTTTCGAAAACAATGACATTTCTAAGTGACCCCAAACTTTTGAACGGTAGTGTATATATTTCCGTACTGTGCCCAGCTAGCACATAACGTTCTGAGAACCATATGTTTCTTAGAGCTTGTTGAGAGCGTGGTTGTCCTATTGTTATTTAGCATATAACCTTCCCACAACTTTCTGGGAATGGTGCAAGATAGTTGCTTTCTCTGCACATTTAAGGAACTTATTTTCTTGGTATTTCATTACTTTATCAGAACGTTTCCTAAAAGTTCAAGCATGGTTACATTTAATTTGAATTTTGGTCATGTTCTAGAAATGTTCTCCAACTTGACATTGGGAATCTTCTCAAATAGTTCAGAGAATGTTAAGAAACCTTCTGTGGGAATTTCAGTACTTCAGCATAACATTTTCTCATGGTTCTGTTTAAAGTCACGTTCTCAAATTGTTCCAAGAACATTAAGAAACAACATTGTTCTTTGGGAATGTCAGTACTTCAGCATAATGTTTCCTACAGGTTTCCTCATGGTTATATTTAAAGTAATGTTCTCAAAATATTCAGAGAATGTTAAGAAAACGTTCCATAAAAATCCTCAAGTAAACTTTTGTAATGTTTAGAGAATGTTCTAAAATTGTTATTTAAAAACATATACATTCCACTCTCAGCATCAACGAAACTCTCTCTATCCTATATCTTGTTAAGTGTGTTCAGGTGTATTGGCCGGGCCCACTAATTGGCCACACCTGATCTTAATAAATTCTAGTTTCCTTTGAAATGGGGTCTGTATGAGCATACTAAAATTAACAGTTTTTAATGCGTAAAAAACATGGCATGCTAGCTCCATCCTGATGGCACAGTGGACTAATTCCATGGATAGAGAACAGAAGATCATAGGTTCAAATCCCACTGATTCCGTGTCACAATAAAATATAAATATGTTTACATGACTAATGCCTAAGGAAATGCTTGGAGTTCAAAAACATTATCCCAAAATAAGCTAGCAGTGTTATTAAATGTCTTATTGAAACATTCAGTGAAAGTTTTAAGGAAGTTATTCAAAAACCTCAAAATAAACTATAATTTCAGTTTTAATAAAACCTCCCAGAAAATCTTTCTCAGAACCTCCCTGCAACCTTCA